TTCCAATTAAAATCTTCGGATATATATTTAAAATTCAAGATAACTTGATAAATATTTAAGTATCTATATTAAAATCTGAAGTCTAAATGTACAAATTTAATATTATTAAATTAAGAATTAAATCTATTTTCGTTGGAGAAGCAAAAGATTTAGACGTATCGTTCTATATAATTAATCGGACATTAAATAATTCTGAATAAAGTCACAATGTATTTAAACGCAAGAAAAAAAGAAACATTAATGATATCACGTTTCACGACAATTTTTGTTCAGAACGGTACTCGACGAAAGTCATTCCGACTGAATCGACCTGGCGCGTATCATGGGCCACGAAGGGTCACGAGGGAAGGCCCGTTTGGGCCCGGCGCGATGTGATCTTATTACACCGCGAAGCGATGATGACCGTGTTTAGGTGTTGGCTTGCCAGATTTAAGAATACACCTCCAGCCTGGACGATTATGGTAACGAGGCCTCTTTAGTCACGTTGACGTGCACCTTGTTCGCGAATAAGGCGCGATATCCCGTAAACGCACTGCACACTGGTCGGCATTGAAGCAATAGAATACGCCGTGGAAGATATCTTCTTATATAAAAGATTTACATCCACACATTTCTGTGATATAAAAAGCTTTAAAGTAGGTGAATGTTCTTTTAATTAAATTTTATTACTACCTTACTCTACTCAAAACGATTCGGCGAATTAATTTATTTCTGCATAATAAACGATCCGAATGAAAATAAAACGATGAAAGATCGATGCCGAACGGCTATCGCGCGCGCTAACGCTCCTTGACATTTCTCCGTCTGGCAGTCGCCATCGTGGCTGGCAACCGCAGTTTCAATAAGGAGGTGAACCGGCGAATATCTTCCGGCGAGTATCGCGTCCGTAACGCGTTCCACTTCTCATAAATATTTAAACCATTAAAAGTGATCGTTTTGTAAAATTGCATTAATTAACTTTTACCGCCAAATAAGGGAAAAGTCAATAAATGGTGAAAAGTGTCGTAAACGACCAGATTGTAATTCGAGCAAACAAACACATTGTAATTTGAGTAAAAAGCGGCGTGACGAATAATTTGCATTTTCCAATTTAAGCTCCCTCTTGTTTGTTGCAAAAACATCATGCTGATAAAATTAAAACACGATTATGCACGCGTAATTACCCTGTTATTACGCGATAAGATTACATATTATATCCGGATATAATCACGAATAATTAAAATATTATAACCAGCCGTTAATGGAAACGGGAAATTTATTTTATTTCTCATTTTCGCATTAATTCCTACTTTGTACAATGCTTCGCGTCTTTATTAATGACTTACAATTACCATCTGTGCATGTCCATTATTTCACACGTCATAATTTTTCTCAATTAATTGAAATATTAATATTTTATTAATTATTAATGCGATATTTTCATCAAAGAAAATATTTAGCTCCAGATCGACCATTGAAGTCATTCAAAGCAAAAGGTGTCGCGCGATATCCCGCACAAATGTTTCTTTCGCGTCGTCAAGAAAATCAATCTTCGTTTTTTTTTCTATACAGACACGAGAGGGTTAACAACCTATCGCGGGGACGAGGAGGACGAACAGAGAAACGTCGGAGAAAATAAGCAGACGTCGAGAGGGAAGAAGATCGAGCAACAAGATCTCACCAGGTATCTCGATAAATCCCCTTCGCTGGACAAATAACGACAAGGCTCATTACTATAAACACGTCTCGCGCGCGGTCTCTGCATGCTTCACCGTGGAAAGAGTCACTTCCGTACGGTGGCTACAAAATATCGGTATACTATATTTTTTCCTATTGCAACTCTCCGTTATAGCCTTTGTAATTGCCCGAGCAATTTTCAGTTATCGCTCATTTATAACTTATAGCTGCGACCAACAGTTAGCATGACGAATAGTGAAAGGGAAAAAAAAAAAAAGAAACCGCTCGCGCGCGGGCTTGAGAAGCGCCTTATGCTGAAACATGCTGTAGAACTTGCGAGCGGGCGGCTCGGTGGACTGTAGTTAGCGACTATTAATATCATCGATCGCGATCGATAGTTCTGCCTGCGAGGCGTCATAATGATATGGTGGATGGTGCAGACCTCTCTGATACTTCGCCGATACGTCACGTACACCGGTAACGATGTACAAGTGGCGTCAATAATGCTCGCAAACATCGCGCCCTGCCGTACAATCTGTTATCGTTAACTCGTACTCGGAACCGTCCGCTAATGCTTGACGCTAATGATCCGATATTAAGAAATAAAAAGACCGCGTTACAACGGCGATAGTATTATTGCGTTAAAATCCTTCCCGCGCGAAACATGCGATTTCTTTTCGAGAAAATATTTAACGTAAACGGACCCTATTTTTTTTGCACAACCAATCGATAGATCTTAACGGATGCCGTCTAATGTATTCCGATTTAAGATCGATCTTTCTAAATTTAACAATTTAAACTTAACTTTTCTTTAATTAACAATTGAACGATTTAGCACAAGAAGTTGATTCATAAATTACAAGGTCTTGTTAAATATGACATCGCATCTAAGAATGAATCTCACTAGAGAGAGTTACAAACTTATCTCACCTATTTCTTATATTAAATAATTCCTTCGCGTGCTCGTTCAAAAACGTTTGTTTCAATTTGTATTTGACACGGATTATATTAGTTATTTAAAAACATTGAAAGTTTTTTTTTTTTTTAACTAAATCTAAGCAGAGAAATTGTCTGGAGAAGAGCAAGAAAGAATTCTATCGATTGCGCGTCCACAGTTTCGCAGTTCGCGCAAAATTATACGTAGTAGGATCGCGCGAGTCCTCGCGCCGTTAATGCGCGCCGCGCCGCGCCGCCCGACCGGCACGATCTTACCTCTCGTAAGGACCCTGTAATGCGAAATAATGGGTATCCACCCACTCGATGAAAATTACATGAGACGCGCGGGCCCTTGATCGAGCGGGCACTCTTTTCTCTTCAGGCGCGCGCGCTGAGGGGCACGTTTAGAGCGCGAAACGAAGAAAGGGTCCCGATAAGAAGACGCGCACGTAGCGCGGTCGGAGATAATTGTTTAGCAGATGCAAACGCACTAATTAAAATTCAGCAGATCCGAGATATCGTTCCACACTTTTTTTTTGTATTGCGCAGCGGCAGAAATAGCCGCGCATCTGTTTCACATTATCGCGTTCGCATTTGTCTTTGTTATATTATTGGGCCACGGCAGGCAAAAGATGGATAAAAAATCTGAAAATGTGTTCCGACATTTAAGTTTGATCACAAATAACTTTAAATGTATAAGAAATGAAAACAACTCTTGCATTTTATGCGATAGATACATATAATTTTACGCAAATAACTCATAAACTTGTTTTCATATTCACATTGCAGCTTAATTAGCTTGAATTCTCACTCAGCAATTCTATATATTATTTACGTAGAATCCGTTGTAATAATACAATACTTATTTGAAATAAATTATAATATTGTATTTGGATAATAATAATAGTGATCAATTTTCATTTATTCAAGACATATGTTCGTGTTAGAATAATATTTTACGTTTGCACAGTATCCATTATATTTTCTTAGATATATACTTTTGTTTTTGTACGTATAGATAATTATAATTTATTCGATTGCATATCTTATTATGTGCTGTAACATGGTCGCGATAATAATAGTAGGTAAAAAACATGAGTTTGGAGAAAGGAGGAAACCGCCAGGTGTACACGATCGGCCCCTCTATAATCCGTCTGACCATTTAAAGTAGTAGAACCTTCTTTCAAAAATTAATTGACGTATCGATTATCGGCCGCCCCGCAGACACATCGTACCGACGTCAGAGCGGTGCCAGGGCTTCAGTTTACACTACCTACCTACCGCATAAACAACGATAGAAATATGACGTCGCGTTTCTGATTCAAATAGAGATTTAGAGTGTAAAAAAAGCGGAAATCACTCGTATCAACAAAAAAGAATAGGGACCATTTGTAGCAATTATTCTACTAACTGCGGTAATTTCTTCTTTGAATATCGGTAAAATTATTAATAAAAAAATATAAATATTTTTGTTGAATAAATATGGCAAGATACAATTATTATTTCACGTTGCTGAACGTCAATTGCGATACAACGCAATTGATAAATGTAAAAAAAATACCTGAAATTAACTATAGCTTGAGAGATTTCACATCAAAGATAATCAACAAGCCGAAAATATATTAAAGAGTCCTATATGTGCAAATTATTGACCTGCCAGCGCGACGTCTTTTCGCGACGGGCGAGCGGCTCTCCAGTTGCTCTCGTTGCATTCTTCATATTCGTCCGCGTGTGGGAACGCAAAAATGTGCCGGGCGACGTGCGACGTGCGATTGGGACGGACGCGCCGGATAATATAATAACGAACAGGGGAGACACACGCGGATATAAAAATAAATGGCCGCAGAGAGAGCGTGGCAACCCGACGCGCCACACGCAGAGCCCGCGCGCGAGACGTGTTTATAGTAATGAGCCTTGTCGTTATTTGTCCAGCGAAGGGGATTTATCGAGATACCTCGTGAGATCTTGTTGCGCGGTATCGTATTTGAAAGGCCCTCGAATTTTATGATGCGAAAGAAAAGAATCATTTGTCAAAACGAGTTTCATAAAAATAGATCGATTATACCAATTGCTAGATAAGTAATTGTATCAATAATTACAGCTTTTTCATCATCAACCAACTATATATTCCAACCATATTTTGACAACTTGTTATTTTAAAAATATTAAACAATTATATATAATTATATATAAATGATTAAATTTTAAAGAAAAAATATATTTATGTATATTAAAATTATATTAAATATCATATTCTCAAATTTTATATCTTTAAAATCTTAGTTTCTAAACTCAATATCTTTCTAACTTATGTCTTTATGAATTTTTGTTTCATATATATTTGTATAACTCATATTTTCAAAATTTTGTAACTTTACAATTAAATAAATTGCACTTATATAATCTGGATAAAATTTGAACTTTTTTAGTGTTAAAATAGAGAATGTAATTTCATATTTCAGTATTTTTTGTAAAAACATAAATCGCAGACAAGAATATTATTGTCAAAGTGTTATTTATAGCAGTTGCATATTAAATATTGGTGAACAAATAAACAGCAAATGACACCTGTGTAACCATGCAAGTATAAAAAATTAATTCACTCACCGATCGTTGTACCCTAGCTAAATACGGCTGTACCTGTAAAATTCCTGTAATTCAGCTGTACCTGTAAAATTCCTGTAATTCAGCTGTACCTGAAAAAAGTAAAATATATTTTAATTATTATAAGTTATCTTACATTTCATGAATATTGACTCTTATGTATTATTTATTTCAACTTTAACTAAAACATAATTAAATGCAATTTGTGTAAATAATTATTAAAAATAACAAGTGTTATAAGTGTGTTTAATAAGTGTTTTTCAAATGTTTTAATAAATATTTTTATATATCTTAATAAATATTTTAGTACATATAAATATTAATTGAATGTGAGTGTATTATCATAATTATGTAGATAATTAAATAATAAATAAACAATTGCGCTCACCAACTAGAACATTGAAGTCGGCTTCAGCTGCTGTAGATTCCATCACAGACCGTTCCGTTCCATCGGCGATGAGCTTCATCGACGAAATGACACGAAAACTCGTATTTGTTGCCACTAACACGCACTTTACTTTCACCTTGTCGGATTTACGCACGAATTTGCTATACTACAATACATGAAACGTAAACAAAGACGAAACACGTTCTATCGTATCGCGTAAACATGCTGATGTAACATTCAGAACTAGTAAGACGAACTGGCGGTCATATGACGGTCGTTAAGTAGGGATACATAAACAACAATGGTATCTCAACAATGGTTTGCGCGATTGAATTCCGACAATCTGTAATGTTAAGGAAATAGAGTTAGAGTTCTATTGAGTAACGTTAAAGACCACTTTTGCATGTTTACGATATTGATATCTATACTTACCAGATTTATGTCGGGTACGCATTGGATATCACGCTGGTTATGACAAACGAAACACATGTTAATCGCGGACATTCTTGGTAAATAATACGTTTCGGTGATCGCCCGTCACTTTGATCGGCACTCCCGACAAGAAATTCGCGCTTGTTATGCATTTTTAATACGGATAAAATACACGATTAATCTTCGACATTCGCACCTTGCATACCGATACGCGTAGAATCAGTAAAATGGCGGGCCACCAGTGATGCCAAGATGTAGACGCGGCTCCTACGTGAGACGACTGGCATCACTGATGGCGGCAAAAAGAGAGGCGCACGCATCGTCGATAATAACGACCGTTTAACGGCCGTTTCGCGCCACACGGACTTGCTAAAAAAACTAACCAAAACTAATTTTTTATCAATGATATCAAATGAAATATTTATGGGTTGTCATATATTGTTGAAAGACGTTTAGCAAATGTTTGATTCTCATCGCGATATTCCAATGTGTAATTCAAACTAAAAACTATATATATTAAACAATGAGAGAGAAAGAGAAAAAGAACAGATGTAGTTATAAAAAACAAATCTTACATTGCAATATTAAGAAATAGTTTGTTCTTTGTAGCTCAACCTTTTGTAATTTTACATGCAATTTCTCTGCATTTTTTATAGACCATAATTTTCATGTATCTATCTATGTTTATGAGTATCTATGAATTTTTATATCAAACATTATCAATCATCGCCGGCCATCATAGCTCGTTGAAATATGCGACTAGAAAACGTTTGAGTCTCACGCGATATTCCAGTATATATTCTTTCGTAATACACGATATTAATAGCTGCTTGCATTAAATAATCTTGTTATGAATAATCAATTATAGCTCACCTCGATAAAACAATTCGATAAACAATTAATAATTTCAAAGTGGAAGCTGCGCCAAGTTGACGCGAAGTACGCTCCAGAATTTGTGAACTAAAAGTATATTCAGACAAACTTGCATAGGCATATGAGCACATGAATAAGGAATTTGATTGGTCCATTTATCTGAATATATCTTAATTCTCAAAACGTCATTTCCGGCGCGCAAGCGCTTTATGTAGTGACGTAACCGAAGTTTCACGACACAGCCGCGGCGAGGGCGCACTGTGTTGATCGTGCAGAGCCGCGCATCTTCCGGGAAGATAATAAACAAAAGGAGAGATGGATCTTCTCCAATCTGCCTGATAATGTGTTGTATTGGATTTACGGTTGTTTAAGTGCTTTCACGAGCAGAACACCACTACGGGGTGAGTTCCCATGAAAGATCCTTTTGTCAAGCCTCACGGTTTCGAAAACATAACACGATTCGCCCTCCGAAACACATTCGAAGTGGAGCTTGGAAATGCGAGCTCCGCAACAATTGAGGTTATGTTGACAGTGCGCGTAGCCTTGGCCGTACGAACGACCTCAATTGGTCGGAAACGCTCGTGAAATAATCCTCCTCTTTCGCGTCGCGTTATATAATTGTTTATCAGCCTGTTCGTGAGCATCTAGTAGCGCTTATGGCACTACGAAATCCATGAGCGTATCTGTCATGACGTGCGATTCGGCCACTCGTCGCGCCATATTGGTCGCAAAGTGTTTTTAACTGATAATTCTCGTTCCTTGAGCGTCTCGCAATATCGCGAGGATTGTAAAACCGAAATTTTCGAAATTCGGAATCTTTGATGGTAGGGACTGTACATGCATAGACTGCATCACCTTGAAAATAATTTTGAGAACGTTCACCTTTGGATGCCTTACATTTCGTTAGAGACTAACATTTTGGCTTACATAAATCGTATCTGCATGAAAAATGACTTTGATAAAACAACCAATTGTTGTTCTTTTGTTTATCAGAAATAGCACTAATACTAAAAGACAATTGTGTGAAGAAAATTGCATGTTTTGATAACATAGATAGAAACTCAGATGCACAGGATTCTTATTTTGAACTAATTATTTTTTAGCTGTAAAATGACAGAAGGCAGTGTGCCCAGAATGAAGCGCAATGGTGCGCGACTTTTCAAGAACCCACCGCAGCCGCATATGTGTATACAGGATTTTATACAGGTAATTAAATTGTAGTAACGACAACATTGTTATAGTAACAATCATTTATATAACATGCAAGAATTGAAATGACTTGGGTATTATATAAATATCAATCTTTGATTAATGCAGGGCACTGCAGCTCCATGTTATGTAAATGTACTGTCTTGGGACAAAATTGCAATGCCTCGCAGACCTTCACTGCCTGTGCCACTCTACGGAGGTATGAGAGTGCCACCACCTCGCACAAAGACAGAAGCCATTGTGTTTGCCGTAATGGCCAATCCAGAAGTTTTACGAATGAATGGGAAGAATGCTCAGGATCCAAAGGTGAGTAAGATGCCCTTGATTTAAATAATTTTTATTGAAATGATTTCCTGTTGTTAACTCTTGAAACAAATATGCATAATACGATATTTATCGTACGTATATTATTATTTTTCTACAGAAGCGTATGAGCTTTATCGAGTTACTACTAGACTTCATAGAAGCGATGAATGCAGGCGTAATCTTCACTCGTCGTTATGCGGTTCTAAAAGATCGAGATATTACGGGCGAACTGAAGGAAGTCTGGAACGCCGTATTAGCCATACGCGACAGCGAGCAACGCCCGCCTCAGCAGGAAACCTGGATCGATGCTCAACCCTCCATGTCTCAATACCCTCAGTATCTGGAACAGCAGCAACAACAACAAGAATACACGCCGCAACCGCCACAATATCATTCGACCATTGCATATGGAACTATTAGCGGCGAAAATATGCATTATGACGGCTACGGACGTCAGTCTCGTAGCCCGGTTGTCCCTAACAACGAACCGATCTTTATATCCGGGAATGCCATACCGCAGCAATATCACGGCAATGTTCGTCAAGTCACGCTCGATACGTTACTCGATCGCAACAAAGACAATCTAATCATACAGAGTGCTATTAGGCACCATCAGTTTTACGACAGACAGACATGGCCGCAATACGTGAATACTAAATATATGCATCCGAATTCGAATCTGCCACATGGACCGGTTGTGAATACAACCACTCCGATGATTAACCCGTCGAATCCAATCAAGTCTTTCCCACCGTACTCTTATCAACAACAGCAGCCGCAGCAACAGCCGCATATGGACAGTGCGATGCATGTTGATATCCGCAGGATGCAGCCGCAGCAACAACAGCCGCCAATGCACATGAATCATGTGCAACCGCCATACGAGCAGCCTGGCTTCAACGTACAAAACAACGCACACAGAGCGCCCAGGCCGCACATGGGCGTCGTTCAGAAAAACAACGTTACCAAGCGGCAAGCGAACTCACCGACGCACATTTCTTGCACGAATTGCCAAACGAAGGACGAGCAGTCTATTAGAGTTCTTCAAAGAGAAACACCGACGGAGCGGCGAGATATGACTAATCATGTAGAGAACAATAAAACTCCCGCGGAGAAAGCAGAAGAGCCGAAGACTGTTCCGGTGACAGATTTAGACGAAGATCTTAAAAAGAACGATGAGTTTGTAGCTGATTATACGGAAACATCGACGGAGAAGAAAGATGTCGATAGTTCGGAGTCCGCTCGCACCGTCGATAACACGCCGTCGTGCGAAGAGAATTCGACGAAGACGGAGAAGCTTTCGTCGGAGACGAAGACGGAAGTGACAATTGCGGAACAACCGACTGGTCAGAAGAACCCTAACAAGCTCGCGCGAGCACGAAAGGCGTTAACTAATATAAGTGATAAGCATAATTCTGTCGCGTCGGAGAGCCCGAAGCGATCGCAGCCGACGATGAACATCATCAAGAGCGTGTTTAAAATTAATCCGGGCGCGTCCGGCGAAGAGACGGCCGGCAAAAAGAAGGCGAACGGTCAAACAACGAAGACGGCTAACGGCAGAACGACGTGCGAGAACGAGGAGCAAGTTCAGCAAGGATACACGATACTGAAGAAGGAGGCTCAGGAGGAGATTGTGAGCGAGATCGCTCAGATATCTATTCAAGACTGCAAAGACGCGACCGAGGTCGGTCCCGTACTCTCGTGATAGCCTGGTCTACGCAGCTGCGTCGTCACACGATCGAGAGCTTCAATGTAAATAGGTAGAAACATTTATTCAATAGAAAAAAAAGTCACGGGGAGACGGAAAACACCGCAAAGGAGAAGGAAAAAATCGTCTTTGACGATCAAAGGCGCATTGTCCTTACGAAACACTTCGAATTCTTCCGAATCCACGCGTCTTCCTTTTTTTGGGGAAACTCCGGCGGTCGGATATCACGCGTAATTGAATTCTCTGATAGTCGATATCTGAAAGACACTATCATCTGCTAAAGACATTTCGATAGTCGATAGTTTGCCCCTTGATAATTTGCAAAACAACAATTCTTCAGCGCATTTTTCTTTTCTTTTTTTTTTTGTTATTAAAGAAACAGTAGTTTATGAATGATTATGATAAACTTCATGCTTAAACAAAGCAGGTCGTTGCGGATTAATTAGCATTATGTAATTGTTGCAAACATTACATGTGTTGTCATACTAGCGTAAGAATACTATAAGATCGACAGAGACAGTATTTATCAGCTGTCGTCGACTATGGAAATGTCTGTAAATTTATTTACGATCGCAGCTGGGTGCAACTTGCATTAATGTACAGTTTAATTAATCAATTTTTTAACAACCGTATTTAAAACATAGATTTTATTTCAATGCTGCTTTCAGTTCAAAGTATCGAGTATAATTTTCATAACGTCTCTGGATCTGTTGAATTATTCCGAAAATTCCGGAATATCGAACTATTGTTGCAGAATTGATTAAACGTTTATTTATCTGGATTTGGCAATGAAGTGGCAAGTCCAATTTTTTTTATCGTAGATTTTATGGAGAAATAAGTTTTCTCTTCTATAAAAAACTATATAT